TTCAACGTACAGCAGGAGCTTTTTTTTTTTTTTTCTAAAGTACCACATTTGTCAATCATCTTGTCATTCAGAATTGAAACATGCTATTGATTGAAGAAAACAAAACAGTTTTGCAAAGTTTGTGTGTGTCTTCAAACACATGATCATATTGGATTTCTAACTATGGGAACAATTTTCCTCATTTAATAACCATTTTAGCCTTGCAGGTATATATTCCAATTTATCAGTTAATGAATATTTTTCCAAAATTATTTGCTCATCATCCTTCTCATATCTCCCAGGGCAATAAAGGAGAGCGTGATGTGGGCAATGATTATCAATTCACATAAGGACAGTGCCACTACTCCGATTTGTTTTTCCAGTCCTTTGTGGATGGCTTTTTTGTTTTAAATGACTACTCAGATTCCTTGACAGGCTACCTATAGACACTAATTTTAAACACTATTTTGAGGAAATAAGACATATGGAAGCATTTCTGATCAGTCATCAATTCAACACTGACTTGAAATTAATTACATCTACTTGTGAAATCATTTATCAAACATTCTTCATATTATCAATGAGAGGCTCTCTAGCCCCTAAAACAAACTCTCAATTAAATCCTACTTTCCTACTAACTTCCACTATAAAATTAGAGACATGTTACCAAAGGAGAGTTCCAGAATAGACTGAACTAAAAACTTTGGATGAAAGGCAGTAAGATGGTAGGTAGCCAGCACTGTGGCAGTTCATTTGTTTCTTGATCATCTGAAAATCAGGTAGCTATTAGCACCAGTCACGTCCCTCATCCTCATGACTACAGGGATGTCTCTCTTGTTAGGGAAGTTACCTATATCTATGCTTTGGGACATATAGACTTGGCCCTCTTCCTGCGTTGATCTGGGTATTTTTGTCCCTTTAATTGGGAATTCTAGTGCAGTAACACACTTTACCAATGGGGGTCAACTTTTAAACTATACTTATCTCAGAAAAACCTTATGTTAGAAACTTCTACTTATACAAAATGTATTTGTTATCTTCTGTTTTAAAATTCTCTGTAATAATCTCCTTGTTTTTCCCTGTGACATAAACATATAGGAGTTTACATTTCAGGTTAAAATTAGATACTTATGGTGAATAGAATATTTTATTCTTGGAAGAAAAGTTGTACCTATTTGACAGTATGAAATTTCACAATGTGAACCATATAGTATTATACTGAATATTGACTTCCCAAAAAAAGAAATTTACATTACAAATAGTTACCTTACATAAAAAGATAAACCATAAATACATATTTTCCCATCATCTTATTTAAATAACCGTATATTCAATGTGTTCTCAGTTACATAACCAAATATGTAGATTTATTGATACACAGATACAGATAAAGAAGGAAAAGAAACAGAATGATCCCCCAGTTGTCATGGACAATTGGCTCCAATTGGCTCCAGGATGCCCCCCCAAGTCCAAAAATGCTCGAGTCCCTTGTATAAAATAGTGCCATATTCATATATAACCTATGTATAGCCTCCCATATACTTTAAATTGCTGCTAGACTACATATAATATCTAATACAATGTAAATGCTAGATAAATAGATGTTGTATTATCATATTGTTTAGGTAGTAAATGTCTGATTATGTCTGGTACAAAGTCAATTTTTTTCTTGAATAGTTTTGATGCCCAGTTGGTTGAATCTGTGGATACAGAACCCACAGATAGTAAGGTTCTGACTGTATTCCAAAATATTAACAGTAGTTATCTCAGAAGGGTGCAATTAGGAAAGACTTGCATTAATTTATACTTTTTGAATTAAAAATATTCTTTAACAAATTAAAATCATTACCATGGACAGTCAGTGTGAGAGTGTGTGTGTGTGCGCATGTGCATAAAATTTACATTCCATTTTTTACTGTGATAAAATACACATAACAATTTACCACTTTAATGATTTTAAGTTGTATGACTCAGCGGTGTTCAATACATTCACAGTGCTGTATAACCACTGCCAGTATTCCAGATGTTCCAGAACCTTTTCATTTACTGCAAATGGAAGCCCTTTGTCAGGCAAGCATTTACATCCATTCTCCTCTCTTCTCTAACCCTTGATAACCACTCATCTTTTTATCTCTATGGATTTTCTCATTTTGCATATTTCATATAAATAGAATCATAAAGTATATGACCTTATGTTTTGGGTTCTATTAATTAGCATAATGTTTTCAAGGCCCATTCATGTCATAGTATGCATCAGTACTTAATTTCTTTTTATGGTCAAATAATATTCCTTCGTATGGACATACCATATTCTGTTTATCCACTCATCTATTGATAAACACTAGGTTTGAGTCTACCTTCTGGCTGTTGTGAATAGAGCCTGTGTGTACAAGCTTTTGTGTGAAGATCTGTTTCCAATTCTTTTGGGTATAAACCTAGGAGTAGAATTCTATCAACATATCATTTTTTAAAAAAAGGCTTTTAATTCCACTTTGGCATTTTGTTTTTAAAATAAAGCTTTTTCAGAATTATTAAGAATAATTCATAGAATATAATTCTCATAATACCATTTCATTTTCAATCACGATGGCACACTTTAAAAGACCAAGCCACATTCTTATACTTAAAAATATAATTTTCAAGCTTCTCTTTGGGAACAAATTTCTCTTATGCCAAATACTTGAAACAATGATGAACTGAAAAGGACAGCCTCTTTTTCTTAGTATAAACCACTCCAGCAGTACCTAGCTCATATTTGAACATTTATATAATAAAAATACAAAAAAGTTTTTTTTTCTTTGCTTAACAGGAGTCACTTAACAGATACCAACATTTAATATATTAAATATACAATACCACGTGGAACTAATATAGAATATTCTAGAAATTCAAGCTGGCAGATGGTGATCAAAGAGGATAAACACACCCTGAAAGTACATAATACTAATTCTTAAATGCTTTATTCCCCAGCCCCCAAATAGGAAAGTGATAAATTTCATGAACACAAAAACCCAACAGTATCAAGGTTAATTTTAGCTACAGACAGTGCTTGAACTGAGCTAAAAAGATGATGGTGTACTTTGAGATTACTCATACCTATTTAACATCTGGTAGATTTTATCATTTTTCCTTCTCCCAAAACATGTACATACATTTATGCAATATGCATTCACAAATGAGCATGTACAAACATGCACCAAAACTGTTCTAACTCAGCTGATGCAACTGAGGGTAGAAATGTTTTGGAAGCTTGGTCATTCCCCCGATTTCGGACTTTTTTTCCTGTTATTACTTCTCCCAGTACTACACACCCAGCGCCCTACAATTTAGAAAGCAGAAATGAAATTCTGGCTACAGAAGAGGGAGGAAAAGCCTTAAAACAGTAAAAGAACAATTCAAACTTTATATTAATAAATAGGGGACATGACTTTAGACCATTCAAAAATAATGGAGAATATTTGAATATTGGAAAAAAATATGAACATAGAGAAAACAATCAAGTAGGAAATTTTTAAATCTATAAAAGGTTTTAGACATTCCAACTTTGCTAGGAGCAGCAATATCTATTTTATTTTATTTCTTTCTTCACAAAAATTCTAACATGTTTTCAAATCTGATAATGCTCTAAAAATCTCTGTCACAAAACCCTGAAGGAACTCTTTAATCCTACTCTCTGTAGAAAAGTTTTTAAATAGCTCTTGCATAACAACAACAATTTATATCATAGAAATTTTGTCAAATGAAGATTAACTTGGTAAGTATCTTAATTCTGTATATGGAAAACTGAATTGCAGTGGAGAAAATTGTCCAACGTCTCTCAAGGAATCAGGGCAAAGTCAGAAATTAAATTCAAGTCCAATTAACTGTGATGACAATGATCTGTCCATAAGGTAGGCAATCTCAGTTACCATGGGGGCATAGTCCTTCTAAAAGAGCAGAATTAAAACATGTTATATCATAATGACACACTAACGTCATTTATGATTATGAGACAAAATCCTATGCACAAGGGTATTTCACACAACTTGTGGAAAACTGAAATAAAAGGTAAGTTTATTTTGGTGCAAAAATTTTGGAATTCCATGCATAGTTTTTTTACATGTATTTTCCATGAACTTTTGGAAGACCTCTCATATACAATTGAATTCCCCTTGTTTGAATCTCATAACACTGATTTCTTCTTGCTTTATATATACATGTTCTCTCTGCCAGATTATAATACGCTTTATGGCAGGGAACAAATCTTACCACTTTTGTCCATGTAGCACACTGGCTAGAATACAGTAGGTATTCTGTAACATGGGTGTTATTTGTGTGCAAAATTTCATAAACCAATACCCAACTATCTTTTCCAAACCACCAAAGCAAACCATGGTGAGAACTGTTGAATGTCATTAACAAGCCAACTCCACATACTAAAGAATAATAAAAATATGATCAATACAGGCTACTCTGAAAATGCCAATGCACAGTTAGACCTGTATTTGCACCCCAGATATAGCCTTAATATTATTTGTTGTGTTTAAATGTATAAATTAAGGTAGCCAAGAATGAATCAGCATTTAACTCTAACCAACACTCTGCTATTGCCATGAGCTGATATTAGCAATTAGTATTTTATCCTAACTCTTGCTTCTTGTTTCTGAGATGTGTCTTTTGACCGCCTAATCATTTAGTAGCAGTCATACCAGAGTATACAAGACTGAGAATAAAATGAGAAATGAATTTCAGTCAATCCTCCTTACTACTTATTAACAGCTTTTATGAGGTACTCTGGTGAGGTAGTAAGATAGTAGAAGCCAAATTCAGCTGGGGATTGTAACAACACATGGTATGATGCCCTGAAAAAAAAAAAAAAGCTCCTTTACTTGTATCTCATGGTTCAGTGGTGAGGTTTCTTTGTGTTGCTATCAATCTCTATTACAATAATGAATCAGACAAAAAAGTTATTTTCTGGGTCTACTTTTTAACATCTACTGAGGAGTTACTTTAATGATTTTCAAAATTTTCTATCATCTTACCTCCCAGTCCAAATAATCACAGACATCTTCAAAATTAGTGAGCAGAGACACTGAGCAGAAAAGCCGTGGCAGCTCGTCCCTTGTCATTGGGGGGAAACGGCTATCTTTAAGGGCACTGTTGAAAACAAAGCAAACATTAAAACAATCACTGAGTATGAAATTTCCTAATGTCAAATGCAGATGATCATTTTAAAAAGGTAGGAGATTATAAAAGGATGAGTAAGTTGTCAAAAGTGCCAATAATTTTCAATTGTGTTCAGAGTTCTAAAGATTAGAAGTCATTTTTTTTTTCATTTAATAGATTGTATTGGCCAGCCAATCCTGAGATCACTTCAGTTGTGGAGTAAATGATCAGTTATATTTCCTATATAGCCATCTGCTGATGTCTTTCTCTGTTATTCACAGAATCTGAGAATAATTTTTATCTTACTTTTGAGAAGAAAATCCAGACTAGTAGAAACTTGTGGGAAGACTTTTAGATCTAGTACTGGTAGGAGGATATATGTATACTTTTAACAGATTCCTTTTTAAAAAGGTTATAGTAAGTTGGCCATTTACCATAGAATAGCATTCAAAAGAGTTCAAAAAAATCAAAATTTCATTTTCCTCAAGCAAAAGAAAAAAAAAACAAAGAAAATGAAAATAATCATGGACATTATGGACTAAAAATACTCAAAAGGATTTCAGGTCCCCTATAAAGGACAATGTAAGATATGAGTCAAAAATTTTGAATCCACAGGAAATAGGGCTAATCTAAGCAAAAAATTATGATTAGAAAAAAGATTATGATTAGGAGACCCTTAATCACATCAATGGATTTTTGAGTACATCATTCTGAGTACATCATTTGAGTACATCATTCTGATTGGATCCTATAATCAAGTGTAGTATATCACAGTGCCAAACTCTAGGAAAACCTGCTGTAAGGAACAAAAATGTTGGAAGACCATAATGCTTACTGCAACAGACAGGGAACACACATGCACACACACACAGAGGCACTGCATGTTCCATGTATTTTTATAAGAAACCATTTCCTGGTCAAGAAAGAGAAACACACTTCCAGTTGCTCACTTTATTAATGGCACTATGGGCATTCACAAACATCCATGTTCAAATGTCCTATACAGAAGCCAGGGTTAGAAAAGGTGTTCACAGATTAATCCTTAGAGGTTAGAAACTTAGATGCTACAAACAGCTTGGATCATAACAAAGTCCCGTGGCCCTTGGAAATGAATTAACTCCTTTTTCATTGACTTTCTTATTGCTGAATTTTCTTTTTTATTTTTTGTCTCATTCTTTGTATTCTGAAAGTCACCCATTGTGTTTATATTTCCAATGCATGTTGGTTCTCATTGTACCTCACTATACAAAGGACAATGGTTATGGGAAGATGTAGAAATGTTATATATTTTTAAAATATAAATGTTTTTCCCATTGAAAGAGTTAAGATTAACCAAGAAACCTGGGAAATTTGTGATAACTCATACTGTGAGAACAGCATTTCACTATTTCATACCTTAACAACATAAATTTCCTATGGTTTGGCTTCTTTTATTTTCCTACTGGCAAATAAAGTTTAAAAAATATTTTCAAGTTCTCATTCAAAGCCAAGATAAAGACACATGTCTGTGTGTTTAATCCCCAAGCCCACCAACACACACACATATTGGAGGGAAATTCTAAAACATAGACCAGAAAATCTCATGAATAAAATATAGGCCAGGAAAAAAACCCCAAAAGCCCAAAGACCAATCACATCTTTAGTTTTCCTGTTAAAAAGAAAAAAAAAAAAAAACAGGAAAAAACAGCTTTATATATTAGAATATAAAATGTAATTTTTTAGAGTTATGGATTTTTAAATTGTGGTAAAATATATATAACATAAAATTTAGCATTTTAAATACTTTTTAAGTCACAGTGCTGTGCATTTAAGTACTTTGTGTTGCTGGGCACTCATCACCACTCACCATTTTGTCATCATCCCCAAGTGAGATTCTGTACCATGAACCACTATCTCTCTGATCCTCTTTTCTCCCTAGTCCTTGGCATAAAATGTACTTTAAATACACTTTTGTATTCCCAAATAGTCACAGTAACACAGTCACTAATGTTTTTATATATAACATTTTATTGCAATATAATTCACATATCATACAATTCACCTTTTTAATGTACATAATGCAATGGTTTATGGTATATTCCCAGAGTTGTGCAACCATCATTCATTACTCAATATTAGAACATTTTCATCATCCCACAATGAAACCCCTTATTCATTAGCAGTCACTGTGCATTCCTTCATCCCCTGCCCCTAACCTGGAAAGCACTAATCTGCTTTCTGTTTCTATGGATTTGCCTATACTGGATGCTTTATAAATATGGAATCATACAATAAAATTTCCTCCTGTGACTGGTCTCTTTGATTTAGCATGTTTTTGAGCTTTCATCCATGTTGTAGCACGTATTGGTACTGTATCCTTTTTTTTAAGATTTTATTTATTTATTTTAGAGGTAGAGTTATAGACAGTGAGAGGGAGAGACAGAGAGAGAGGTCTTCAGTCTGCTGGTTCACTCCCCAAATGGTGCCAGTGGCTGGAGCTGAGATGCTCTGAAGCCAGGAGCCACGAGCTTCTTCTGGGTCTCCCACATGGGGGAAGGGGCCCAAGCATTTGGGGCCATCTTCTGCTGCTTCCCCAGGCCACAGCAGAGAGCTGGATTGGAAGAGGAGCAGCCGGGACTAGAACTGGCATCCCAGGGATGCTGGCACCACAGGTGGAAGATTAACTTACTGTACCACAGTGCCAACCCCCACTTCATACTTTCTATTGCCTAATAATGTCCCATTGAATGGATATACCACATTTTGTATACACTTATGAAGAAACAGACATTTTTGCTATTTCCACTTTTTGGCTATTGCTTAAGTTTTAGTTTGGATACATATCTTCATTTCTCTTGGGTGGATAACCTGAGTGGGATTCCTGGGTCATAAAGGTAATTCTATGTTTAACTTTATGAGGAACCAATAAATGGCTGACCATAATGGCTCTATGATTCTACATTCCCATCAGCTGTGTATGAGGTTTCCAGTTTCTCCACATCATCACCAAGGTTTATTATTGTCTACCTTTTTCCCTCATGTTATTTGAGAAAGAGTGAAAGAAAGGGAGGGTGGGGGGAGATCTCATATCTACTGGTTCACTTCCCAAATTCATGTAACAGCTAGGGTTAGGCCAGATAGAAGCCACCAGGAACTCAATCTGAGTATGTGATGTGGGTGGCAAGGATCCAAGTGTGTAAGCCATCATTTGCTGCCTTCCCAGGGTGGACACTGTATCAAAAGCAGAGCTGGGACTCAAATCAGACATTCTGATATACGATGCTGGCATCCCAAGTGGCATCTTAACTGCTGTGCCAAATGCCTGCCCCTATTGTCTGTCTTTTTTATTATACTGCTAGGTTCCCATTAATGAATTACTCTATCTCCAGCTCTAGCTTTTTCATCAAAGCAATACACATGCTGAAGTCATCATACAGTTAATTTCTCAACACTTTGAAGCTAGTTATCATTGTGTTTATTTTCTAGCAAACCCAGGAAAGGTAAATTGTAGCTCAGGGCAATTCAAACTTTTTCAATGCATTCTTCAAGTATCCTAAAATGTAACAGGATCAGGCTAGCAAGCTTTTCATATACTATGGAGCTTTGTTGCTCATTCTAAGCTTTGAAAACCATAGAGAATGTTTAGAATAAGGAGTTAAGTGGGAATGTGCTAGCACAGGTAATAGGAGAAAGTGACAAGATGCCTCCCCATACCAAGATTCAGATGTACTGACTTCAAAGCTCTGAAGTAGGAAAGGCCCGTCAGTCATGACAGTAGTAGTCTGATTTCACAGAAACTCTCAGATAAGACTTTCAATTCTTGCATTTGCCATCTAACTCTAAGGAAGTTTTCATCAAACTTACGAGCATAGCATTCCAAAGGGCAGGAAGCCTTCAATATCACTAAATGCAAATTCCTAGGGAAAGGAACTAGCAGTGAAAGCCTAGCAAGGATTTAGGGGATTATAAAAAGATGAAAATGCAGCTGGAGACTGACCTCAGAGCTGCCAGGCTGGTGTGGATAGCTGATAAACAAGAGGATTCAGCTTTCCTCAGCCTCACTCCCGTTAGGATAATGGAATGTGCCATGGTAAAGCTGAGCCATTACAGAGGATACTTCAGTTTGGAGTTGGGCAATGACTTGCTTGAGGTGATGTGACACAGTTAAGTTACTGACAAAGGTGAGGCTACAACCCAGGTTTTCTGACTTAAGATTCGCACCTTAGTCCAAAATTCTTTCTAGTATTTACTACCTTAGTTTTCACCTTTGAATGGATTATTTCATTAAATTTCAAATTAAATCCTTGCCTTACTTGGCAATTCTGAGCTCATAGCTTCAGTGCCTCTGCCTAAAGATGATAAACAATAATTCAATAGCATTCATTATAGCCAAAGGGAAAATACAGCCAGACTTCCTGTCTATTGGACATTTTCAGTAGAAAGGATTTTTAAATATTAATATCATCCATGGAAAGCATTTTATAACAAAGTAGTGCCTGCCAATTTAAATTCTAGGCAGTCTAAGGAACTCACAAGAGGATACTGTAGTAAATCCTTATGAAATTCTCTTTGCTAGAATAGGAAGCCACTTTCTAATGTTTAAATATTGCTAGGGAAAACAAAACACTCATGTACAAAATCAGCGGGCTGCTCCATCATCCATATGATGGATGAGAAAGGTTTAAACAACAATTGAATTTACATATCATATTCAAATATATTCAATTCAAACTGGCACCTTCCCAAGAATACACTTCACCTAATTGAGAAATAGCATTAACATCTGTCAAAGTTAATATCTAATGTTAAATAGCACTTTAATGAAAATGAACATTTTAGTAAAGAAATTGAGAGCTGAGTTCACAAAGAATCAAAGGATTTGTGACAGTGCCTGGAAACTATGCTAAAAAGAAAAAAAAACAGCAGAAAAGAGACAAAAGCTTATATGTTACAGGACTGATCATAATCATTATAGCATGCAACAGAAATGATTTAACTGAATCTGTCTAGTC